CGTGGGGATTGTAGTATAGTAAGCTCCAGCCATGTCATCCGGTATTTGCTGTGTACAGTAGAGCAATTGATGCGTGTTTGAGACAATTTCGTAATCCAGATGTCTCTTTTTCCGCGTGCTAGCATTTGGGATTAGCTTAGTTTTCAGTTGAACTACATGTGGGTTAAGCCTTAACAGTTACTCCGCCATTGCCCAGTGACTTCATCAGTTGATAGCATTCCTTCAGCTTACGCTTGTCGCCCACTTTCTCTAGCGTTTTAGCTGCCTCGGCTAATAGACCAGCACGCTCGCCCGGCGAACTTAAGAGTGCAGGTGGCAGGTACTTGCAGGCCACATACATGGCTGCTGCTCGCTCCCGTTCCCCGCCTTCAAAGTTCTGATGTCGTCGATCTTTGCTGCCGCAAAAGATAGAAGATTGGGCATTTCGCGAACGCAAACTTCTGTCTAGCAGCTGCTGCGTGGGGCATGGTGAGGCGCCGGCCATTAAGCGGCAAACGGCCTCATACAAATAAATACGCGACTGAGCGTTCTGYGAATAAATATAATAAATAAATAATTAGTCTGTGATTCGCTAGATGTGTTCCCACTTGCTTACCGGTATATTTTCAACAATGCTGCGCAGTGAATTCAAATCCGTTTGGAACTTCTCGAGCACATCTCCAGGTACCTGATAGTAACCATCGTCATCGATGCCCATGTACTCCAGCTCCCACAAGGCCGTGCGTGTCTCCAGCAACCAATCGCAGGTCAGCAACTGGAACAGCTAAATCAAAAATATTTCATTAATTATCTTGATAACATACATTATCTTTACTCTAAGGTGTCCGACGTTGCGAGTGAACTGCACGGAGCTTGCACTGCAGTTGTATTGCCGCAGAGAATAAAGGATACAGACAATGCGACTACAATGCACCTCCGTCACAGCTCCAAAGATGTCGGAATGCTGCATAAACGGGGCAGTGCTCCAGCTTACCAATTTAATGCCCTTTGCATTGGTGATACGATTGACCGTAAGGCATTCTTGTAGTTGGGCACTAGACTCATCGCAGAGGCGGTTGATCGAATGCTTAAGGCGTTTATCCAAAGTGTTGCCATTGTTCCTGCAAGTCGAAGAAGAATATTAAGTACAGGCTACATACAATTGTATAGAGAGCGTATCACATACATGAGCAATATCATCTTGGCGCGCAGCACTGCATGCAGAGCTTTAGGCAGCTGATCATTGTCGCTACAGTGTTGCAGGTCCGTCGGCAGCTGCTTTATGCTATCGTACAATTTTTCCGCCAACGTGTCCTCTCCTAACAGCCAGTGCACAGCAATTTCCAGGACATTGGCCCACCAGACAACATTGGTGTCGCGCTCATCCTCGTCGGCCCATAAAGTATCCCGCAGCAGGGAGGTGTACTTCAGCACATTGCTTACGATGGTGCCGCTGTGTTGCTGCTGCAATTGTTCTGCCTCGCTGCCAGTGTTGTTGTTGTTGTTGTTATTGTTAGGCGTTGCTTTGTTTTGTCTATGTGACCCGGCGCCCACCAAGCACTGGATTGCCTTGTACAGCAAATGCTCGCGATATTGCTGTCAAATAAAAATAGTTAGCGACGAGTAGCTTATGAAAGAAATCCATTCCCTTACCTTGATGGCATATGCAGCCGGATCGCAGGGATTGCGCAAGCGTGTGAAGAAGCCATCCTGTTCGCCAGCGCTGAGTTCGTAATTGAAAACATGCGCGCTACAATAACCATAGCCATAGGTGGTAAATGCCCAGCGCAGCTCTTGGGTTTGCTCGGCGGCACGAGTGCGTCCACATTCCTGGCGTGCTCGACTCATGTAGTAACGGGCGAAGAGCTGTTGGAGCCACTTGGGTGCACTTCGCTTCATCCGCAGAGCTGTCATTACATGAATGCAAATGGTCTCGCGTGGAGTTAGCAAATTGTGCGCCACCTCAGCCATGTTGCTGGCGCAGAGAGCCAGCATAACGCCATTACGATCGTTGCTACGATCGCCCGTCAAATTGAGTTGGTTCAAACGATTGAAGAGCAAAGCCAGTTCCCGTGCGGAGGACAAAGCACGCTTGCGCGTCGCTGCATTGCAAAAGAGTCCGCCAGCACGACGGGAGAGCACCCGACCCAACCAGAGTCGATGGAATAAAAAGCGTAGAAACTGCCAAAAGGTATTCAGGTGGCATTCCAATCGGGACGTCGGCAAACTTAATCCATACATGTGCAGACAGTTCAGATAACCGGCATAGGCCTGCGCATGCTGGCCCTGGGCAAAGTGAGTTTCGGCCCGTTTCTTGTGCTGATAGTAGGCATCCGTTTGCACATCCAGCTGGGGATCACCGTACACCAAGACCTTCACCAAACAGCCAAGCATAAAGACCAGATTCAAAAGCCATAACCAAGAGCTGTGATGCCAGCCAATGTTGTCCACGTTATCTGAAATATTACAATTGGTCAATAATCTTTTTTTTTAATATTTGTTTTTTTTTCTTTTACCATCGTATGCCAATATGCTGCGCCTTTGACGGCTTATCTCGCCACCCAGATCGTCGTCATCAAAATCATTAGAGTCCGTGCCGAATTGACTGTGTTGCAAGAGCTTCTTGAAAGGATTAACTGCCAAGACGGCAAACATGAACATGCAAAGCGCCAGCCGGGAATGATTGGCCATGCCTCGCATAGAGCTGGGCGCCACCAACACCTCATCCTTGCTGCTGCAACTGCCTGTAGAGCCGCCGTATGGTGATGGTGGCAGCGAAATATCCGAATGCAGCGGTGATGATGACGGATCGGATATATCGCTGCGTGGCGGCGTCAAACCGGCATCCGTATCGCATGTGGATTGTTGGCGACGCTTCTTCGATGAAGTGGAGTTCACAATTGTGCTGCTGTTGCTGTTGCCCAGCTGTAGTAGATCCTTAACCTTTGAGCCGTCGCGTGCCATTATCTCACGCTGCAGACGCTGCAGCTCAGATTTGAGGTCATAGTTTTGTTTCTGTAAATCGCGTATCTTTTCAATGGACCTGCGCAGCACAGCCGATTTGTTTAGCTTGGCCGCATCGCCGACGACGAGATTTTTCAGCTCGATAATCTTGTCGTTTATTGAAGTGCGATAACGTCGCTCAATCGCATTGTGGGCCGAGCGTTTCACCTCCTTCACCTTTGGCTGCACGCGCTGAATGGCGACCTTAGCAGCAGGTGCTGGCGTTACGGATGGGACCGGTGCGGCTGCAGGTGCTGGAGCCAGCTCTACAGTCGATGTCTTCGATGTTGTTTTCGGACTGGCAGCCGGTGCAATGGTCTCGAGCAGCAGGGGCATCGGTGCAGCTGTCAATATGGTTGCATTGTTGCCGGTATACATCAGCGTTGCGGCCGGACTCACGGAAGGCGTCTGCAGTAGAAAATTTTGCTTAACAGTCGGCAGCATGGCCGGCATTTTCTTGTTGGCATAATGCGGAGCTTTTGCCGAAGTAGACGTCGATGGTGAAGCTGCTGGTGAGGTTGGTGCTGGCGATGAGCTTTCCGGTAGCTGATAGACAAAATCATTGTTGCACGTGGTCGTATACAATATGGTTGGAGCGGGTGAAGCTAGCGGTAAACGCTGGTTGCTGTCCATATGATGAATGGTCGTCGTAGGCTGTGGCTTCAGCAGCTGCGGCAATACCTGCGAGTTAAAGTTCGAGTTCGAAGCAATGAGCGGATCCGTTTTATACAAGGGCGGATCGAATAGATTGCTCTGCTGCGAGACTAACTCCTCCTTGATGTGTACCGGAGAAGCGTGCTCGCTCTTCACATGTTGTTGTTGCTGATGGTGCTGTTGTTGTTGTTGCTGTTGTTGTTGTTGTTGTAATGGTGGCGATTGCTGGGGTAGCTGTTGCATGTCCAAGGCGCATTCGAGTAACGGCGTTGAATTGTTCATATCTAAATCCAAGTCCATTTCATTTAGGAACGTGTTCAGCATATCAGAGGGTATCATTTCTTTGATGATACTCAAAGCATCCTCCTCCTCCTTCCACATGTCCATGGTATTGGACATGAGCTCCATGTCCAATGATGCTGGATCGATGTCCATAGTTGAAATTATTTCAGCTGACGTGTTTATTGTTTTGATTTTCCGTTGACGCTGCTAATAAATAAAAAACTTTGATTAATGGTCGACTTCTATATACCCTAAAAGTCATAGCAACAAACAAAATTAAAAACTACATAGTTAATCAATTCAATAAATACCCCAGTATAGATTTTATTGCTTGTAGGGTATTGTTATGCTGTAATCATTGTTTTGTTTATGAAATTTCTATTTCAAAGCGGCGCAATAACACCAGCCACAAACAAAAACAAATACACACACTCACACAAACACACATGTGCACACACACATACACAACGCATGCACACGCTTATGAACGTGAAAAGCGCCTCTCGACCAATCAGATTGCGCGCGAGAATCATACGATGTGACGGCAAAGCGCCGATGTCACCTCCACTTTCCAGCTAATTGACCAGCAAGCAATTAGAACGCATATAAACGTTGCTTTTTTAAGTACACTCCAAAGATTTTATAAAACTAACACTTCACCAAAGTTTTTGTTCGTATAAATCACTTACATATCCAATAAGCCTAATACTGTTCTTTTAAAACACTATTGCAGCTTATTGTCGGCCATAATATAAGCTCCAAACATCTATTGACTACAGTTTTTATATGCAAACATGTTTTTAAATTGTATACACATATTCCAACGGTATTTAGCTTTCTTCTGCAACCAATAAACAAATTGTCCAAGAGCTTTATGAAATAAACAGCAGACCGAAACGACTCTAATGAATATTTGGTTAAATTTATCGACATATATCGACAAAAGTGCGATATAACTATTGAATAGCCAAAAATATGTAAACACCTCATTTCGTGCTGTCACACGATACTTGACACATATCGATACGACACGAGCAACTATGTGCTAGAGCAATCGAAAAATTGTACAACACTTACTATAGCTGCCATGTTTCACTTCCTGTGCTTGCGAACAAAATAGAATCGCCAAGAAAACCCTGCGAGTGAGTGTTTTAACATCACACTCGAAAATAACATCAAAGTGGTAGTTGAAAGAGTGCCACAACTCGAACCGCACTTTTACCAACACCAGCCGATTAATTGAAAATAGCAACCAAAAACTCAATTCAAGAAAAAAAAACAAAGTTGCGGCAACCAGCAGACGAAAGCTTTGCCGCACTCCGTGTACAAAACAGCAGGAGAGGGTACTTTATTTATTCTTGCTTTTATTTTTGGAAGCTCGAGAGTGTAGGTGTGTGTGTACGTTTGAGATAGAAGAACAACGAACGTAGCTAGAAAGATGGCAGACTCGGAAAAACAGCAGCAGCTACCCATAGAACAGCAGCAGCCGCTGGCCCAGGAAGAACAGCAGGATGATGGGCAGCAAGCGCAGGGCAAGCCCGCGCCGCCTCCAAAGGAAATTATTGGTAAGCGTACAAATCAATTTGCATTTTCATTCATCTAAACACATGGCAAGTGCTACCGAAATAGCAATGAAAGGAACGGCGGGCTATATGTGAAAAATGTGCGTGTTTATGTGTGTGTGCGTGTCTTAAAATATACGCGCGCCGCCATTTTGTATGATGTACATACATACATATATTCACACATTCGCCGGCTCGTCCGCAGTCGCATGTGAAAAGCGGCGCAAGAACGAAATGAAAATTCTACATTTTGCCGGTGACACAGCCCACCCCCGCGGCCCCATCATACGGCTGACCGAACAAATGCTGGCAACCCAATTTGTTAGCCGTCGTTTTGGCTGCTTGTTCTCTTCACTGTTCTCACTCTCTCTCTCGTTCATTTAGTCTATTGGTGCGCGCACTCTCTTACCCAAAACGAGAGTGAATTGTGTGCGTTTCTACATACGTGTGCATGTGTGTGTGTGTTCATTGTTTTGGTAACTTTATTTGTATACACAGTAGTTTGAGCACCCAATAGAAATTTTCGGCATGTGAAACAGTCAAAAGGGGGGAACGTTGTTTTGGTAGGAATTAATAGCATTCACGACTCATTTGGTAATAAATCAGAATTAAAATTTAAATATATTTAGCTGTTATCTTATGTGAATGGTGTGCTATCGATTAAGTAATGACATAAACTTATTTTTGTTACAGCCACTAAAGTTACCGGCACCGTGAAATGGTTCAACGTGAAGAGCGGTTATGGTTTCATCAATCGCAACGACACCAAAGAGGACGTCTTTGTGCACCAGAGTGCCATTGCGCGCAACAATCCGAAGAAGGCTGTGCGCTCGGTTGGCGATGGTGAACTTGTTGAATTTGATGTGGTGATTGGTGAGAAGGGCAATGAGGCGGCCAATGTAACTGGGCCATCTGGAGAGCCGGTGCGCGGCAGTCAATTTGCTGCTGACAAACGTCGCAACTTCCGACCATGGATGAAGAAGAATCGCCGCAAGCAACCTGGCGAGGGCGACAACGAAGGTGATGAAATGGCGCCGGCACAACAGCAGCAGCAACAGCAGCTGGATGGTCAGCAGCAACAGCAAATGCAGTCGGGTCCACGCCAACCACGTCAGAATTATCGTCGTGGTCCCGGTGGCGGCCCTGGTGGTCCACCCGGTGGCCCACGCGGTGCTCCTCGTGGTGGCGGACCACCCGGTGGACTCGGACAGCGTCGCTACAATAATTACTATCCGCGCCAGACACGTCGCGTCCTAGGCGGTGGCGATGGCAGTGCTGAACCTGGCGTTCATGATTCCAATTCAGATGGTATGCAGCGCGGCGGCGATGGACAGCCGCGTCGTGGTGGCGGAGTTGGTGGACCTCAGCGACGCTTTTTCCGACGCAACGGACCACCGCCACGTCGTGATGGTGGCGAGTACAGTGAGTATTCGCATTCTTAAAATAATAAAAATAATTGTTAATGAGGCTAAAAACTCTTTTAGTCCAAGGCGGCCAAGGACCGCCACGTCAGCCGTTCCGTCCGCGCCGTCAAAATCGTAAGCCCAATGGACCTGGCGGCGGTGGCATGGAGCAACAGTCACAGCAGGTAATGAACTAAAAGCCAAAAGCAAACAAACACCAACGATAACAACCACAACATCACCAACAACAACAATTACTACTACATCTTTAACAACAAGCAGCACTGCAAAAACAACAATAATAACAACATCAACAGCAACAGCGTGGCTTTCGGTGGCGGCAACTACAAACTAACGAGAATAATACATTAAACTGTGCTCATAATTAACCACTAACACACACTCACAAGTAAACACACATACACACCTAAATATATTTATATATTATAAAAATATAA